GAACAATCACCAAAAAGAGAAAAAAGAAAAGAAAAAAAAAAGGCAATAAGTGAGAGAAAATATTTAAAGACATACTTAAAAAAAAAAAAAAAAAAGCCAAAAGAAATATGCATAGAAAAGGGGGAAAAAAAAACCCTGCAATATATGGAGAGGGGACTAAGAGAAAAGAGGGAGAGTAGGAGAATAATGAAAAAAATTGGAAAAATGTAAAAGCAAAAACAAGGAGTAGGGAGAATCACACACAAAAAAGATGGAAACCAGGAACAGGGAAGAGAAAAAGCTGAAAACTAGAACCTGGGAAGAAGAAAGAAGAGTAATTAAAAGGATGAAAAAAATTTAATAATTAAGTAGAGCCTAGTCTTAGATCCCTGGAATCTGAGAGAATGCTGTCGCTTTAAATATCCAAAATGGTCTAACTGCTTGTAAACATTAAAAATGGCTACACCCTTCAGATAGCCAGAAGTCCACGGCTCAGCTCGACTCCCTTTTTGTTGCTTTCCCTTTTATTCATCAGCCACCAGTGCAGTCCTCTGTGCAGCCCCTGGCTAGCAGGCCCAATTTTTAGATTAATTCTTAGGTCCTTGCACCACTTGGCAATATCCAAGCTGTCTGCCGTCAGGTTTGCTAACAGTCTGCAGCTCTGTGTATCTCCTTTTTTGGTGTTTTCATGCAGGTTCTTCTCTAGTTGGAGTTTAGTCCACTTCTGTATCCTTCTTTTCAAAGCTCAGTGGTCCAGGATTATCTTCTGTATCTGTGTTACTTGGTTCCCCTTTTCTTTGTTGAAGAAGGTCTGTGTAGTTGTCTGCCTATTTTGCCATTTTACTGGAACTCTCTGATGAAAATATTTCTGTTACACATCTAATTGTAACCTATAGTCCTTTTGATTTGTATTCTGTGGGAATTCTATTCCAAACCTATAGTCTTCTCTCCTATTCTTTTGGTATTTTATTTTCTCAATTTAAAATATTTCACAAGCCTGCCTTCCACATTTACTGGTTGATGTTGTTGTTGTTGTTGTTGTTGTTGTTATGTGCCCTTGAGTCGAACCCGACTCATAGTGACCCCTCCTTGGGTTTCCAAGGCAGTATCACTATGGAAGTAGATTGCCCCATCTTCCTTCCGAGGAGTTGCTGGTGGGTTTGAACCGCTAGCCCTCTGGTTAGCAGTCCATTGCCTTGTGGAATTATAATGTAAAGGTCATTCATTTTTGAACCAAATAGACCTGTTTATTTCTTGCTCTGTTGTTTCTTAGTTGTGACTGTAGGCTACTTAATTGTTTAGTCTCAATTCTAAAATTAGACAATACTGGGCAATCTACTCTGTAGAGATACTGCCTCAAAAACCCAAGGAGAGGTAGCTATGAGTGGGATCGGAATCAATGACAGTGAGTTTGGTTTTATCTTAGAGAATGATTAAATAAAATGTAATGTGAAAAGGCCCGATTCATGGTTGCCCAATAATTGTGCATCTTCTCTTAACTGCCTTGAGTCTCCTTTTCTTGCTTCTTTTCAGCTATTTCATATAGTTGTCTGTTCTGGCTTATTCTATTTAATATTTGTGATTTTTTTTTTGTTGTTATTATTAGAGATCATATGCATCTAAATTTACCTTTATTTTCATTTGAGTAAATCTTGTTCAAAAGGAAGAAATATATTTTAGTTTTGTTTCTCCCAGACTTCAGATGTTTTTCATAGGTTTCACATTACTTCACTTACTCATCCTTAATTGTTATTTACTGGTTAATAATATTATTCCTTATAACAACCCTGTAGAACAGAATAAAACTGCCCCATAGAAGGAAGGTTGGGCAATCCTACTTCTGTAGTGATAACTGCCTCGGAAACCCAAGGAGGGGTCGCTAGGAGTCGGGGCCGACTCAATGGCAAATAACAACAACAACAACATCACTACAAAAGTAGATTGCCCCATCTCCCTTCTGAGGAGTGGCTAGTGGGTTTGAACTGCCAGCCTTCTGGTTAGTAATCAAGTGCCTTAGGCACTACGCTACCAGAGCTTCTTCTCTTACAGTTTGTTGCTGTTGTTGTTGTTATGTGCCATTGAGTCAGACGGACTC